AAATTATACTACGTATAAGTTAAACTTCGTATAAATTATACCAAGTATAAATTACACTTAGTATAAACTATACAAAGTATAAGTTACACCGTTACACTGCGGATCGCTGCTAATTTCTTGAACTTTCCATGTGGCGCAGATCGCGTAACAATATGGTGCTGGAAGTCTATACTCAACAATAAAAATGTAACACCTAAAAATCTTTCAACTCCTTAAAAAAAATACAATTTAGAAAAAATAAACTGGTAACTTTATTCTTTGAGGTAAGCTCTATTAAATTACCAGTCAGATTTTTAAAAGAAGATCTACATAAAAAGTTATAAGCATTTGAAATTGCATGATTTTCATATGATTGGTCAAATTTGAAACAAAATATGTTGGCCAGAATTTATGATTTGGGCCAACTTCATGCATTGTGATAATGCCAGCCTGAATTATCATAATATGAATCAAATGTAATTCTTTTAAAAAAAAAAATTTTTATCAATATATGACTTTTATGAAATGGTAGTTGTAATTTTATTCTGAAATCTACTTTTTCTTATGTTTTATCTTTTTTGTAATAAAAAATTTTCAAAAACCACATTTTATTAGTACTTTACACAAGAATTCTGGCTTTTTATTGGCTGAATTCTGGATCATGTGATATAAAATCGGCTCAGAATTCGTCATAATTATCTAAAATCTTAAGTAAATTTTGTAATAATTTTGCAATAGATCATTATTATCCATTTTTTTTTTTTAAAAAAAAAAAATAATCTTAAATGTAAAATTTAATGTTTCTCAATAGACCTGTTCAATTCTGATAGATTGGATTTTAATCAGGTTTTAGGTTGACAAGTATTGGATTTTGCCAAACAAAAAATAAGTGACATTTTTTGATCATAAGCAAAATCAAAACGGGTTAATTGGTTATTGTTGTTGATCACTGATCTACTTACTTAACTGTATCATCCGGCTTTCAGATTAAATTGGACAAATCCATCCCTAAATACAAAAATTATAAATGTACAAGTGGTTTTGTAATTTAATAACGTGAAATTTGATTTCATTAATTTCATTAAAAAAAAAAATAAATAAATTTTACAGGAATATTTTATAATTGATTAATCATGATAACTTGATCGATCAAATTATTGATCAACCTTTAGTATCATAATATCAAAAAAACATTCTAATAGATTTAAAAAATCATCAGTTTTTATTACTATAGTAAAACCCGTAAAAATATTTTAATATTAAATAATAATTAAAAACTTTTTCATATACCAGATACCATAACATATAAATGATCCAATTAACGCCTCGCTAGCTTATTATGTTTTAATTATAAGTAAATGATTGTTAAATAAGTAAATTAAAGAATTTGTTTGTATTATAAAAACTATATAAATCAATTTTATTACTAGGTATAGAAATTTACAGTTATGCTGCTTATCATGAAGAATTTTATCACAGATATAGATGAATTAACAGTTAATTCACCTGTAAATATTTTTTTAATTGAAGTTTATCATAAAGTAAATATTACTTTTATTTAACAATTCAAAGTAAGCTTAATTTATCTTTTTATTGTTTGGATTGATAGTTTGATACAATTATTTATTTTAGTTAAACCTTATAAAAAATTTTTCAGAAAAATGATCATGTGTCCGAGTTTCTTCAGAATAAAAACTAGAAAGTGATCATTTATTGGAGTTTTTCCAGAATTTTTTTTTATGGAGAAAAGGATTAAAATCAAAAATACTTGAGACTCAAATCATCATAATTAAAAAAAACTGTTTTTCTTTTATGCTTTATTTCTGAATCCCATTAACTAGGAAAAAGGTGCTGCATTATCCCATAAACTAAAAATTTTAAGCATCTCACTACTTCATGAGCTAGGAGCTTTAAATTATCTTACACACATAAAAAAGAAAAACTTTTCACCACTCCAGAATATGAATTTTTTCAATATCGTGCTACAGTGACACCTCTCTAAGTGCACCCTCCTTGGGACCATAGTAAAAAAATAGTAGAATGTGCACTTAGAGAGGGTGTGCATTTATAGAGAGTAAAATATTAAGAGCTCTTATAAGTTGGGACCAGGTCCACCGTGCACTTAAAGAGAATTTATATAGTACGTGCACTTATAGAGGGTGCACTTATTATAGAGGTGTCACTGTATTCATGTAGCAAAATATGCATATGAAATATTATCAGACAGGGAAGATGTCATATAATTTTTGAACACTATAATAAAATTTTTAGTTTAGCATGTCCTTTAAATATATAATATATGTATAAAGTTTAAATTTAATCAATAACGATTTTCAAATTTTAATTCTGGCCAAATTCATAATGCCGGCCTAAATTTAAATAAATTTGAAGAAATACAGGTCAATGAATATTATATTTTATATACAATATAATACTTTGATTTAAAAAGTAAAATAAACTTATTGGCCATCCCTACAATTTCATTAAAAAAAAATCATTATTCAAACTGAGTTATCAAGAAGGATCTTCATTTGAAATTAACGTTTTAAAAACTTATACCATTATGTAAAATGTTAATACCTTCATGTATATTAAATTAAAAAATTACAATATTTAATACACAGATAGATTCGATCCTGCTGAACAACTTTTACTAATGCACAAAGGCGATTGTCATATAACCAATGTACTCAAATTATGCTCTAAAGTTACAAAAAAATAGAAACATAAATAATAAATGTTAGTTGCTCTATACATACCAATTAAATTCTTATGAAATTTAAATTGCATGTAGATTTCCTCGCTGAGCAACTTTTACTTAATACACAAAGGTAATTTGTCTTATAATCAAAATGCCTAAACAGAAAAAATAATAAATTTAAAGTTATTATTTCATATAAGTTATCAAACATTAAATGGAATATAATAGATACAAGTAGTTTTAGCTCTGTTGAACAATTTTTATTTAATATATAAGAGTGATATGCTTATGTCAAAAATACTAAAACTGAACTTTAAAAAATTTTACATATATTAAGAACATTATAAATTTTTGATTTTTTAAAGGCTTACAAAATCTATCTAAATAACCAACATCAGAAGCTTAGAAATACTTTCTTCTCTCGTAAAATTGCATATATTTCTATTGTTAAAACTACATTTTCTTTCCTACCTTTAAAAGAATCTTAAAAAAAGTATGTTTTTTTAAATAAACTTTATATATATGTGAAAAAAAATTTTTAATAGTAAAAACGAAAAAATAATTTAAAAAACTGATAGAGCACATGATAATTTATTAAATTACTTTATTTAGCATTTAGTACAGCACAGAATATTAAAATTGATGGTTAATTATAAAATGAAGTAACCTAATTAAGGTTACACAAAATTCTTTATACCTGTCTGCTGTTATGAAATGATTACAAACATTATCAATCAGCATTTCCATGGTAGACTTGAAGGGAATTTCATTCCATGAAGTTGGCATTTTGGACTTTACGACCTTACTCCATGAACTGCTCCTTGAACTATTTTCTTTTGAACCAGTCATCGTCATCTGATGAAATTGGATTTAGGTTGGACTTTGCGACCTTACTCCATGAACTGCTCCTTGAATTGTTATCGTCCAATAAAATGGACTTTGGTTTGGACCAGCCATCCAATGAAATTGGACTTAAGTTGGACTTTGCGACCTTATTCCATGAACTGCTCCTTGAACTGTTATCATCCAATAAAATGGACTTTGGTTTGGACCAGCCATCCGATGAAATTGGACTTGGATTGTTTGCGATCTTATTCCATGAACTGCTCCTTGAACTGTTATCATCCAATAAAATTGATGAAATTGGCCTTGGGTTGGACTTTTCATCCGATGAAGTTGGCCTTGGGTTGGACTTTGCGACCTTACTCCATGAACGATTCCATGGGTTGGGCCTTTCATTCAATGAAATTGGTTTTGGGTTGGTCCTCCATTCATCAATGTGACCTAATGAAACGGGCTTTCTATTATCCCATGAAAAGGTTGAGTTTTCAATCTTAAAAGTAAATTAACAAAAATAAGTAATTCATTCATAATTTTAAATTAAACAAAAATGTTATTATACCTTTCTTTCATCATCAATAGTTGTAGAAGTTGGTGTCCCTTCTTTAGCTATACGGGGCTTTGATTTATGATTGACCTTGCTATCAGGATGTAAATTTAAAAAGTTTCTTAATAAATCCGTAAATAATTCCTCTGGTAGAATTTCCTTATAAGGTAGAATATTATCTGAAAATTCTTTAGAAGTTAAATTATAGAATCGTATAAAAGGAATACATTGTTGTAAAGTATTTTTTAAAGAATTAAAATCATCTTTTGAATAATTAGAGGGATCTGAAGAAAGCTCAGGATTTTGTGCAAGACCCCATTTAAGAACATTCTCCCATACTTTAATTTCATTCATTTTAAGATCATCAATTTGAATAAGTGAGATCAAAATTTTTTCTGGAATTGAAAAGAAATCTAATGACTTGAATATCTTATCTGGGTTTTTGGACATTAAATCAGTACAAAACTTTTGAAGCTCCAAGAAAGAATCATTTTCAAAACTTGTTTGATATACCAAACTAAAATTTTGTTCCATCCAGTCTGCTTTGTAATTAATCAAAAAAGATTGTGTATAGATAACCAGTTCCTGAAGGTTCATTTCACTAGCAGCGACCATGATTTTAATGATATCTAAATTATCATAATTTTTCAAAGATGGTTCTCCGCCATAAATATACCTAAAAAAAAAAAAATTAATAATCATTTATGATTAAAAAAAGTATAAATCCAATATATTTATAAACGCATAAATAATAAAATTTGTTAAATTTATTTTATTATTTTTTTACCTTAAAATTATTTGAAAAATTTCAGGTGAAATATTTGGTAATTTAATTTGTACCAAAGTCCCATCATTTTTCTTTTTATTAGTTGACAAAATTCTTCGCAAATAAGAAGAACGATAATTTAAAATGACTATATGTGAACGAAATATTTTTACGTAAGGATCATTTCCAACTTCAATAGTAATATCACAATATTCGTCATCATCTAAAATATCGAGTAAATTTTGTGATAATTTTTGTAATAATTTATTATCATCCATTTTTTTTTTTTAAAAAAAAAAAAAAGTTGTCGAGAGAGAAAAGAAAATTGACACCTTATATGTAAATTTAATTAAATTTAATGTTACTCAAAATTTGTCTGTAAATCGGAAAAAAGTTTCCCCTTTTATTATAGTACGAACTTTAAGGATGATCCGATACGAACTAATTTTTCATATTCATTTGAAATACAAATACAGACAGAAGTCACAGAACAAATTTAAAATAAATCATGGCTTCATCACGTGATTAACGATTTGTGATTCGATAGGAGAAAATTCTATAATAATTTTTTATATAAAAGAGAACTATTAAAGTTTCCTTTCAATGAATCAGATAATCAAAGAAATTTATATAAAGGTATTAAAAATTCCCGTTAGCTAACGCAATTTATTAATTTATTAAATTACGTCATTCAGAGATAATTTCAAAATTATCAAATGTGCGTTGGATAATACTTGACGTTAAAATATCGCTTGTTTGATACATCAAATTATACTTTACTCTATCTTTTAGTCAAAAAGGATTATATAGTATATAACTAAACAATTCCTGAAGGTTTAGTTTATCATCAGCAAACAAGATATTTAAATTTTTAAACGATATATAAACTATCTTAATATTTCTAAGATAGCTTTCCTCCATGAATATATCTAAAAATAAAAGTCGCAGTTGAAACATAAAATTTATAAGACAACAAATTATATTCACAAATTTTATTTATTTTAAAATTATTTAAAAAGTTTTACGGCAGTTAATCTACTTAGTAATTAATTTGTACCAAAATTTCTCTTTATTAATTGATAAAATTCTCGCACGAAATATTTAATTAATATTCGTCATCATAAATTTTAAGTATTTTGTGATAAAGTTTTTATATTAGATTAATGTAAAGTGTATGTCACCGAATTTGTTTTACATAAAAGCATTTACTACTATTTATCGAGGAACCACTTTTTTTTTATTCTTTCGTATAAATAAAAATAATAAAAATTAAAAATATTTAAATACAAAAAATATAATCCTTTTTTAAAAATTTAATTTGCAAATATTTATAATACAAATTTTAGTAGACATAATTCCTACATTATATAAAACTGATGGCTAATCGGCATCTTTTACCATAATATCACACCAGACTTTGGATCCAAATTGATTGTCCGTACCGTCTGACAATTTCCAGTATCTGTAAAAAGTTAAAAATAATATTAATATAAGCTTATGAATTATTGGTCCATTAGCTAATATTATTTTATTATAAGCGTCTAACACCCCTAAAATATTAGCTAGTATATGGTACTGCCCTTAGAAAATAGTTAATATTATACTGACGAAACGTGTTTTCCATGGTCAGAAGGCGCTTGGAGAGCAACAGAGATATCCACACTTTTACCAACTTCAACAGATCCAATGCGGATTCTTGGCGTTATATTGAACTCGAACATACGATCTCCGTCAATGCAACGTAGTACTGTTTCATCAGGCCACTAACGTTTAAAAAATATCAAATATTAATTGATATAAATGTAATTAAATTAGAAAGTTACATCTACTTACAGGGAAACGGCCGTTATTAGACAGTTTCCAGGTCTTTTCAAATTTAGCCTGTGGTGCGAGAATTGTTCCATCTTGTATGTTTACATCTTCAATAAATTGCGAATCAAATAACTTCGGAGCTGTTAGTTGTTTAAGAAAAAAATTAATAAGCTTAATGTCGAATGCTTCATAAATTTCAAATAACATAAATCAAACTTAACTAATATCTTGTTTAAACTAAGAATTTTCAAAGTGAAAAAAAAAAAAAAATAGAATTAATTCAAATATTATTGCAACATAATTTCTTGTATTTGTTGATAAATTTACCTTTTTAAACATAATTTCAAATAAAAATAAAAAAGAATAAATAAAATAATAAGCAATTTATAATTTCATAATTTAATGTAAAATAATTTCTCAATAAAATTTAAATTATATCGTTACCCCTCTTCCTCTTATATGGTTGAGTTCGTTAGGTTTATTAGAAGATGCTTTCTCTTCGTTACAATTTTGATTCTTAGGTAATAGTTGTATCCGAGTAGATAAAGGATCAGTTACTTCTTTAACCTTATTTATATTTTGTTCCTGAGAATTGACTTTAAAAGTTGAAGGTCCTGAATAACATGGCGTGGAAGGAGACGGAAGAGAGAAAGTGACAGTTTTTTTAGTCATACACGGTTTTGATTTATGATTTAGTCTGCTATCAGGATGTAAATTTAAAAAGCCTTTTAATAGATTCATATATAACTCGTCTGGTAGGATTTCTTTGTAAGGTACTATATTATCCCAAAATTCTTTAGAAGTTAACCTATCAATCTTAATAAAAGGAATGAGTTGTTGCAAAGTATTTTTTAATATATTGAAATCATCTTTTGAAAAGGTTGAAGGATCAGTAGGAAGTTCAGGATTTTGCGCAAGACCCCATTTAAGAACATTTTTCCATACTTGAATTTCACTCATTTGAAGATTATTACTTTGAACAAGTGAGATCACAAGTTTTTCCGGAGCTGAAGAAGGATCAAGTAACTCAAATATTTTATCTGGAATTCTGGATATTAAATCATTGCAATACTCTTGAAGTTCCAAGAACGGTCCATGTTCAAAACTTGTTTTATATATCAAATTAAAATTTTGTTCCATCCAGTTGGCTTTGGTTTCAATCAAAAAGGTTTGTAAATAGGCGATCAATTCATGAAGATTCAATTCGCCGGCGGCAACCAAGATTTTAACAATATCTGAAGTATCGTAATCTTCAAAAGATAGTTTCCCTCCATAAATATATCTAATAAAAATAAAAATCATTCACGATTAAAAAAAAAAAAATCGATATATTTTTAAAACGTTAAATTTATCTTACTTTAAAATTATTTTAAAGATTCCAGGTAAAATATTTGGTAATTTAATATGTACCAAGTTTTCATCACTTTTCTTTTTATTTTTTGACAAAATTCTTCGTAAAGAAGTAGAACGATAATTCAATATAACCATGTGAGCACGGAACATCTCATCACCAACTTCAATAACAATATCGTAATATTCTTCATCATCCAATATTCTAAGAAAATTTTGCGATAATCCTTGCATAAATACATCATCCATTTTTTTTTTTTTTATAATATAATTGTTATAAAAGACGATTTTTATGAAAGAAAATATGATGAAACGAAGATGCGTTTATATACCGTAGAAAAATTTGGTTAGTTTAAATTTGATCATCAACAAAAGCATTTATTCTTTTGGAAGGACCCCGAAATATACATAAAAGGGTCAGGTCAGAGTTTGCGTATAATGAGTCAAAAAAATCATGTAGATCATTCTTTTTATGGATAATCCCAGCCAAAACAATATTTCCTAATTTAGATAATAACTGAAATTATCGTAATTCCGGCCCTGAAAGAATGCGTATTTTAGACCACTTCTGGACCTGACCTCTACATATATATTTCGGGGTCCTCTTTTGGATATGCTTCTATTTCTCGGAAAAATATTTTTCCGCATTTATTAAACTCATCGAGATTAATTAATTCTCAACTTTTTTTAAAAATTCGATAATAATCGCTATGGTTAAAGCATGTGAGGACGAAGACGATGAAATAATGATAATAAAAGATACGAAATATGTGTCTGAATGATTGTTGGGACATAATGAATTATTGGAATACGGCTACATAATAGATGAGAAAGTAGAAGAAATAAAAAATTTAGCCTAATTGGACTCAGTTAAAATGAATAGCGGGCTGTAACATCAAAATTGAATGGGAGTATTCATAATTATGTAATATAAAAAATTAAGAAACTACATTGTTATTGATAAAGCGCATATTGTTTAATACGTCAGGAATTTCGCCAACTCAAATCTTGAGATTAATCATATTTCGAATCGATTTATAGCATAAACTTCAAATTAACTATTTTTTTTTTTTATCACTTTGATAAATAAGAATTGATACAAAAGCTTTTACAGTAATTATAAAATTTATATAATTAATGATACAAGTATTAAAATTTCATCCTTTGTTTATTTTAATATATAAATAAAAAGTAAAAATAATTTATTTAAAAATAAATAAAGCTTCTAATCAGTAACCTTTCATAGTGCCTATAATATTTCCGTATTAATATTTGTCTATCCTAATCTAATTCACAGATATTCATAACATAAATTCTTGTAGATACCATCTCTATATACTGTACATTACATAAATAAAATTCGCCTTAATGCAAAACATAAAGCTTCTATTTTAAATTGATGTGCAATAAAATCAATAAAATCAATAAAATCTAATGAAACGTGCAGTAAATGATGTGATATTATTAAATCTCAGGAAACGGAATATTATGAAAGTTTTTGAGAAAAGGAGAGGAGGAGGGATGAAGATGCCATTTCTGACCACGATCTATCGGCCACGCAAAAGTGCATCATTATTTTAAAGTCTTCCAATTTGAAGATGTAAGAATGGTTGCAGCTAAAGATGTTATCTTTTTAAGATCTATTCGAAACGGATTATTGATCATACGGTAATTCAATGCGGTTAAAGATGATTAGTCGTCTTCCACAGTAATATCACACCAGATTTTGTGTCCAAATTGATTGCCCTCACTGTCTGTTAATCGCCAGTATCTGTATAAAGTAAAAATAAATATTAATATAATTTGATAAATTGATGATCTATTAAGAGATAATTAATCTTCTACTGACGAAACGTATTTTCCAGGTTTAGATGGCGCTTGGAGATCAACGGCGATACCAACATCTTTACCAACTTCAACAGGTCCAATATGGATTTTTGGTTTCTCATCAGATCTATTCTCATGTTCCCGTCTAGTTATGTTCGTACCGCACATCTCACAGGATGTCCTATTTGGAAGAATATAGAATGTACATCGTGGACAATGAAGTTCTTCCTCATCCGAAAAACTATTTGATCGAGAAGTAGCGAGGGATGATTTAATCAAATCATTATTGAACATACGCTCTCCGTCAGCGAAATGTAGTGCTGTGCTTTCGGGCCACTAACGTTTAAAAAATGTTTATATTGTTAATATATAACATAATTTAATAAAATAAAAATTCAATGTAATTACTTACAGTGATACTGCCGTTATTAGACATTTTCCAGATCTTTAAAAATTTTGTCTGTGGTGAGAGTATTGTGCCATCTGGTACATTTACGTCTTCAATAAAGCGTGCATTTAACATCGAAGCATTATAAGCTTTTACGGGCGATTTCTTTACGACTATTTCTTCTGCGGTTGTTTAAAAGATAATTAAAAATATTAAAAAAATAAATCTCATAATTCAAAAAAATTCATTTCATGATAAGATTTAATTAATACCTTTTACTTCAGTCTGAGAAATAAGTTATGAAAGTTATTAAAAAAAAAAAAAAAAAAGAATTAATTCAAAGTGGATCAGCTACATGTCCAAATATAACTTCAAAATCAAAGTAATAAGACTTTAATAATATCATAAGCTATAATTAATACCTTTTTTCCTTCCTTTCTATTTTGTCTATCGGATATTGGTGGCTTTCTATCAGGATCCAAAAAAGTTTTTAATAAATCCATAAATAATTCCTCTGGTAGAACTTCCTTGTAAGGTAGAACATTATCCGAAAATTCTTTAGAAGTAAAATTATAGAATCTTATAAAAGGAATACATTGTTGTAAGGTATTTTTCAAAGTATTGAAATCATCTTTTGAATAATTTGAAGGATTCGATGAAAGCTCAGGATTTTGCGCAAGGCCCCATTTAAGAACATTTTTCCATACTTGAATTTCACTCATTTGAAGATTATCATTTTGAATAAGCGAGATTAAAAGGTTTTCTGGAACTGAAGAAAGATCAAGTGATTTGAATATCTTATCCGGGTCTTTGGATACTAAATCAGTACAATACTTTTGAAGAACCGAAAAAGAATCATTTTCGAAACTTGTTTGATATACCAAATTAAAATTTTGTCCCATCCAGTTGACTTTGTTTTTAATCAAAAAGGATTGTAAATAGGTGATCAATTCATGAAGATTCAATTCACTGGCAGCAATCAAGATTTTAACAATATCCAAAGTATCGTAATCTTCCAAAGATATTTTCCCTCCATAAATATATCTAATAAAAATAAAAATTATTAATTGCGCGTGGTTATATTAAAATTTTTTTGGGATTATTATTTCATTAGATTTCTTTTTCGTAATTGTATTAAAAAAAAAAAAAAAAATTCAATATATATAAATCACGTTAAAATCTATTTTATTATTCCTACCTTAAAATTATTTGAAAAATTTCAGGTAAAATATTTGGTAATCTAATTTGTACCAAAGTTTCATCATCATTCTTTTTGCTTGACGACAAAATTCTTCGTAGATAAGTAGAACGGTAATTTAAAATGACCATGTGGGCACGGAATACTTTTACGTAAGGGTCATTACCAACTTCAATTTTTATATCATAATATTCATCATCATCTAAAATTTCAAGTAAATTTTGTGATAATTTTTGTAAAAGTTTATTATCATCCATTTTTAAATTGTAAAAAAAAGTATTTACGAACGGAACTTTAAATATAATTTTGATGTTACTCAAAATTTGAAATTCACGTGTAATGTTAAACTTTATTTCAAAAGTCTGCTGATCCCTGCAGATGGTAAAGAATTTAACATTGTGGTTCTCGACTTTTTAATCACCAAGACACCATTTATGTCTTGATTAGGAAATTCTTAAACTAATATATATATTATCTAATATTTGAAGTTTTGAACACAATTAGTTGTCCTATATAATAAAATAATTTTTTAATTATATTTCAAACTTTAATAAATTTCTTTTTTAAAATAAAATATGATTGTAAACATAATTTTTTTGGTTCGTAAATTTTTATTAAAAATAAAAAGATACAACAATAAAGGCATGGAACAAACGGATTAAATAATTGTATTGCAAATTTTCCGATAATTCTTTAAAATGTATTATTTTCTTTAATTTTATTTTTTTTGAAGATTAGGAGATTTTAATGGATTTTACAGTACATAATTGCAACGTTAAAAACATAAAACATCAATATAAAAAATTTTGAATTTTTAATATATATTCTAATATCATAAATCTTACGTTCTAATATTAGAATGAGTAAATATCACACAGTAGAAGATAATCCAATTGAATGGGAATCTGATCGAAATTACGGTGTTACAAAGAATAGTTTTATATTCTCTTTTAAGGATTGTGATGATATTAAGAAACCTATTTTCAGTCGTGTTATAAATGAAAAGTCTGCCATATTGAATAAGCGTACTCAAGAGTCAAGGTCCATCAATTGGTGGCGCAGACCATATTTTGAAGTATATTAAATTATTTGTAATGACTTATAAAATAAACGAGCTATGCATTTGTTTATTAAGGCTTTTTCTATTTGTCAATAATTTCTACATTGTCGTCTTTAAGATTAAATCATTTTAAGACTGAAATATAATTAATAATCCCATAACAAGTTAAATAGTAATAATAGGAATTCAAAGTATTAGAAAGAGCTTTGAACAAGTTGTAATAAATATTGGAATTTTAAAAATAACGAAATATATAAAACCAAAGAATAGGTTAATTAAATTGAATATAATTTCATTTTAATTAAAAAATTGAGTTTCTAATTTCATCTTGTAAAAAGCGACTAGCAATATATACATATGGACATATGATACATGATTACAAACTTGTTGAACAAATGATAATATTTTTATATAATTTTCGTAAAAATACTATTGGGAAAAGTGAATAAGAAAGGTAATTTTTAATCCATGAATAAAGTATTTTTATGTGTTTTAAAATTAAAAAAAAATTTGAAACTGCGTAAATTCAAAAAAAATGAAGGCACTGTACTGTATATTTACAATTTAATTGCGTGTATATGGATGATGAGTACCGGAATTGAAAAAAATCATCAAATTCTGCATAAATTTTTATTATATTTTTTTGTTAACGTTCGCGTAATTTTTAATATTTCAACATTTTCTTTTCTTCTTCAGTTCTTATTCCCTTATTCCTTTTTTCACTTCATAGTCAAAAAAGAAAGTTAAAATGGAAAACTATAATCAGATGGATGTTCCAACTTCTACTGCCTTTGATATTTTTTTCAATGGTATAATACTAATTCTTTATTCAACATCTTTCGAACCACTTTTAAGCGCAACATTAAAATCTAAAATTAAAGATCTCGTTATCCTTTTTGTGGAGCCTCTTATACCACTTTTTTATGCGTTCAACAAGATAACTTGCAATCAATTTACCAAAAAATACTTTATATTTACTTGTATTTATTGTATTTTCTTATCTATTACTTTCATTTCACATTATTTTATCTTCATATGGTTTAAAAAAACAAACCGATATTTCAAATACAAATTATTGACACATTATATAATAACCTTATACCTTGCTACTTTAGAAACTAGTACTCGTTTTCTTCCCGTAATTTGTTTGGAAAATATTGGAGAATTGAGAAATATTGCATTTAAAGCACCTAATGCGATAGTTGTATTTGGAATTATACTCGTCTTCCTCATTTTGGTATTAATATACCTCATATCCTGTATTCTAATAGAAATGAGTTTCCGGTTTTTGGTAATATTATATTTGCACTACATATATTTAGTTCATTTTTTTCAAGTATAGTTTATTTTGGTAATAATACCTTCAAATGTAATTTATGTTAAGATCGCAATTAACATCAATTTGTTATTGATCATGAGATTTTTTTCTATATTAGAAGATAAACCTAGTAACAAAAAAAGGGGCTGGGGTTGTGTTGTTCTTTTCGCTTTTGATGATACTGAGGGTATAGAAAAAGTATTAAAGAAAGAAGACAGGGGTCAATATTGGTACACGCCATATTTATCCCGTCCTATAATTAAAACCAATAACTGAAATAATTAATGAGATTACAAAAAAAAATGTAAGATATTGAATATTATGAAAATAAATCAATTTGTAATAAAGCAAATATCTTATATTATTATAAATATGGAAAGTCCTTGAAGAGAAAAGGATTTATCAGAGTCACCTCATGAATTTATTCTTGAAAGATACATACCTGGTAATAATTTACATAATGAAATTAAAAAGACAAACAAGGTTTATAAGCTTTTTGATGGAATTGGTTTAGAAAAGATAGATTATATCGAAAGTTTTTCTGCTGATGATATTGTAAGATTAGAATATATAGAAATTAATGAGATCATTAATAGAATAAATACTAAAATACCTTTATGTTATCCCTAATCATATGGAAAGTTAGCATATACTTTGTCAAACTGTGTCAATCTAACTTAGCTGAATCTAATATTTATTTATTTTCCTAAAACTAAAAAAGTTAATATTTAAAAAAAAAAAAAAAGATTTACTAATACTTTAATAATTAAAGTATTGTAATGAAATTATTAATAATAAAAAATGTGTTATTTTTTATTTTATAATTATTTTTTAATGGTTAAATAAATTAAATAATTTTTTTTATTACCACTTAGACTACCACTCTAGTCTGATTACCACTCTAGTCTTGGAAAATGATCGACTGGGCCGATTCACAAACCCATACCATCAACAAGCGTGGAAATAGGAACGAAGAAAATCATAACTTGGAAAAAGTATTGTGACTAGAATTAATAAAGAGCTTAGTCTAATTTCCTGGGACATCATTGCATAGAAAATTCAAGAACCTTGTTCGGGATTATAATGTAAGTGTAAGTGTTAATAGACTACTTAAGCACAGGCGAATCCTAAATTTCACTCTCCACATTACCTCTGGTGACTAGGTGATGTGAATATATGAATGGAAGTCGAACAGCTAGGAGTCAAACAGGTGTTAGATAATTAAGAAGTTCCGCACTCACTTTTGGGAAAAACCTGAAGATGCTTTTGATAGGATTCGTGATATGAATATTTCTAATCGTATGCGAGATAGAGGAATTGTTTCACCTGCACCCTCCATTGAGGTGGTTGGTACTAGGCCAAAGAGGTCTCTTTGGGACTGGATCATCTAGCCGAAGAAGTCAGAGCTGAAGTTTTGGAATCACCATCTCGTCTATCTCCGGCTCCACCTTTACCTTGTAATGAAGATGGAGATGCAGGAAATCCTGCCGGAGAAGGAAATAACACGACAACTTCATCTGTCCAGCCTCCATTTTATGATGACAATCAACAATCATTGAATAGTATGGATGGTGGGTCCCTTTGGAACCTGGTAATTATAAAGCAATGAAGTTATCCTTCTAGAAAATGCGTTACCTTTAGTAACTAACTTTGGTATTCATTTCTTCATTTATTATGCTTGAAAAAAAAAAATAATAAAGTTTTTCGTCTATATTAGTCCTGAACCTGTATAAATTTGAATTGTGATATTCATTGATATAGGTTGATAGAGAATCGGTGTAATTCTTTAAATGTGCTATAAATCATTAAAATACTAAACTATTTACAATCCTAAAAGTGGTTAAAATTAGCCACAAATATGGCTTAATTCCTGAGGTAGTGAGTGCAATAACCAATCTGTATTATAGTTATAGTGATGAAATGCTAAAAATGTGATGTTCCCATATTCATGCTCCGTTTAGGAAATTTTTTGAACGAAAAATTTTCCAACAATCACGTGGACGTATGTAAAAAGTTCATGTCATAACTAATATAATATATAATAACGAGTATCTAATAATGAGTATCACACAAATTATAGTATTGCAAGCTTATTTTTAATTGTAAACTACACTTAGCTAATCACGTTTTATATACTCAATTGTCATTTTTTAATTAAAAAACAATTACCCTATGGATAATATAAGATATTAAACTGGTTGAGTCCTAATTACATTATATGTTAGCTCAAATAATCGTTTTTAGCTATCAAAATATGTATTTCTAAATATTCTTTAAAAATATTATGCAAACGATATTGTCACGAAATTGAAATCAATTTCATTTGATGTTACAAAAATTATAAACTTTTGCCTGTTTCTGGTACCTTATTACTTGCATGGCCTGATATCCAAAGATTACGTTTCTTTCAAACATTAATCATACAAATGAGGGTCTATCATATCAAGGACCATGTCATTAGGCGTTCTTAATGGTAAATAAATAATAGGTTTATCGTAAATATTCTATAATAATATGTTAAAAAATTCCTTATAAAAAAAAAAAAAAAAAAAAAAATT